TTGTGATTGGAAAAGTTTGTTTCAATAGAAGTTCCGTTCTGCGATCATAGTTGGTGCGCTGGTGGGATTCATTTGTCACTCACGGCCAACACATCGAATTAAATGATTCCTAGACGCCACGAAGGCGTGTCGAGGACGTGGGTGCAGATCTGCACACGGTTTGGAGGTGAGTGGTTAGATTTAAGCTCCGACCGCTTTGTAGGGCAGAGTCGACCTGAGGACGGTGGTGGAGAGAAACGTCTGTCACTGCAGGGAATAGAACTTTGACCTTTTAATGCATCTCCGGTCATTTGACTGAGCTATGTCGGCTCGTATGAGATAAGACGTCATAAATGTCGGTTATTTTGTGCAATGAAACGTCATCAGTACGTATTCAAGGTGCGAGCAAAAGGTTAAACAACGTTTAGTGTTTCCTATGTAGTGTTACCTCCCAGTGGTAAGGCTGTACCACAGGGACGATTGGAGTGATACAGGCTTATTGGATGAATGTGAACAATGGAGACCTTTCATAGTAGAAGATTTCAGGATGCATTACCGCCCCAGACCCCTTACCTGCACATCTGTCTCTTTCTGTAGCTATTTTTCGGCTGTTGTATCTCTCTCCTCGCTGCTGGTTGCCCACCGTTCCATACACCCCACTCATTCAGGCTCCCGTGAAAGACATAAACCCTTTCGAGGCCTCAGTTTTCATTGGCGTCGCTTTGACAAATCAAACCGTGCATTTCCAGTGACTTCCAATCTGTATTATCTTTCTTTAATTCTCTGTCTTTGTTTGGGCAGTCAGTTCACCTTGAATACGGAGACAAAAAGGATCTCCGAAACGCTGCCATCTGCTTGGTGTCACGAGGCCATTACTCCAAAATAGGCTCCACATTATCGGTGTTGAAGTGTTCTGGAATTTCTCTAGTATGGATCAAGTGAAGAGAATTAAAACGAAAGGAAAGACTTTAATAAATTTAGGGACGCAGTTGAGTTTCTTGACTGTAGGAAAATGCTGCTTCCATTTTCAGGGTTGAAGATGGATGAGGCATGTTCTACCCCCATGTTCACTATTGAATAAAGAGACATGTTTTGTCCGAACACGACGCTGCAACCCAGAAGACCACCAACCAAATTGAGTGATATTCTGGCGGAGTGTTTGGCATTTCTTGCCTGAATCGAGAATCAGTTCCATTCATCTAAATGGCATTCTCGAAAATGTATTCGGTTTTTAAAGTGTGAGTTGCTGTAATTGTGTCTTACGTCTTAAGAATGACGTTATTCTGAAAGCTGACGCGGAGATGCAAAGTTTGCAAGCGCACTCGTGTTGAAAACCCACATAGCTTAGGCCATCTCTTTTATATACTGTGTTCACTGACGCACATTGTGATCTTTTAACCCTCTCTCGTCTTTCAAAACGAGGCTAGGACGTAGCTCTTTTGTACAGAGAGGATTATAATCCTCAAGCAAATTGAATATTGATTTTGAAACAATGCGAGAGCAAGGTATAGGGCTCTAAAAGCAAGTGGCTTATGTTTTATTTGTCTCACCCTTGTGCTTACAGGTTTATGCAAACGATGATTAATCTTGCAACTGTTAATGCAACTTCAAGTGGCCGTCTTTGTTTTTTACAGCGTTATTCTTTCCATTCTGGTTCTTATTTGAGGAAAATATTGTGTTTGAGTATAGTATATTGAGGTAGTCGCCATTTGGCTTAAAGAGGTACGTGCGTGAGAATTCTTTGATAATGAACTTAGAGACCTCGGCGCAAAGTTTATGAAATTCTATTTCTAAACTCAAACATAAGTACATCACAGCTTTTGAAGATTCAGAGTTTTAATGGTCGCATGTTGTTAAACTTGAAATTTATTTGTAGGAAAGTAGCGTGTGGGATTTGTTTGAAACTTGTCACAAGTGGCAGCAACATCTGTTCCTGAAAGTGTGCGAAAATAGTTCTATAACCACACGAGAATGATGTAAAGCTGAAAGGAATTCTGTAAAGAAGTTGTACATTATCTTATATCGGGCAGAAGATTTTCTGCCATCGGTCAGCATGAAGAGATCAAGGATGTCGAAGAAAATATCCGTTCACGAGTCTCGATCTTGGATACAGGAATGTCATCTGTGGGCGCTGCGAGATCATACCGTGTTATGGAATGCCCCACTTAAAGCAGAACACAGCCGTAGGTGGTCCCGAGTTACGTGGAACGCTCTGTATGATGGCGTCTCCTAAGCCTCCTACCGACCAGCGCCTGGCTGGAATCATAAACCGATTAGCTGCTGAAGTCGCCTCAGTAACTCTTGGATCAATTGAAATTTGATAAAATTCTATGCTTGGCCTCTTCTGCCCCCGTGGGCACAATTTGCCTGTAACTGAATCAGGGGAACCAATATTGATCAATTTCCACCCTACGTGACATGTTTCAAATTGATATAACCCTTGAAGAAAGTCACCCGCCATTGACTAGAGTTTCGTAATTGGATGTTGGTAGGCGAAGAGCTGAGTTTGAGAGGAAACGAAACTCGTCGTTAGTTGCGTGTTTTTTAGTGAGCTTCGACCTATTAATGAACGTCACGTGAATTTACATGTTTCAGGTATTGTATTCTAGTCTCCGAAACGTCGTTTTATATTCAAATTAGGAAGATGGATAATGCAGTCGCGTTATACTTTGAGATCATTTGTGCCATTATTAACTTAGCAATTGAAAATTGTCGTCCGCAAACAACAGCCACTGTAATTTTTCTAATGCGTTTAAATGCACAAATATCGTTTGCAAGTGTGCCAACACGCTGGGACACGGTCATGCATTGGCACCGGTCCGAGAAGCCAAGAATCGATACCAGAGAAAGTAGGGCATCATCATCCTTGTTATTGATGTTGACAGACTGCGGTGCTCATGTTTGAGGTCTGGAAATGGAATTTGTAGTCTGCATGCACTGTAAACAATGATTATATGCTTCGAATTTGAAATACTCCAGCCAGATAGAATACTGCCAGGCTTTCCATTTTAGCCTAGCTTTCCGTTTTATTCCTGACCAGCTGAGCGACTAAAAGGATTCTACCTCATAGAGTTAGGCTTATAGTATCATGTCCGTCGGTCCGAGTAACTCATTTAACCAGCTGACAGTCCCGAAACTAGTTTCTCATTTGTAGCCATTGCAACGTTTTATTCATGGCGAACTTTGACACTAGTCTTTACCTTTTAAAGTACTGTGGTGACTATATGTACCACCTGCTTAAAAATTCACTAACTTTGCATTTTGTTCACAGAATGTATTTATGTTTCACGATTCCATAAATGAACGTAAATTATTTCCTTAAACCACATTAACCAATTAATCTTTTTAATGGTGAAGTGCTTTATTATCATTGAGATATTAACTGAGATTTTGAATATTATTCAGAGACTTAACATCATTGCATTCATATATAAGG